CTAAGCCATTTTTTCCAGGTTTTTTTTAACGTTTTTTTTTTTTTTTTTAAAGACAGGTTCTCCCACTGACATGGAAGTTGCCAAGTAGGCTAGTGCACCCCAAAGATTTTCTTGTCTCCACCTCCCCAGTGCTGAGATTACAAATGCGTACCACCATACCTGGCATTTTTTTTTTTTAACACAGATTATGGGTACTGAACTCGGGTCCTTAGGGTTTTGAGGCAAGCACCGCATTGACTGAGCCCTCTCCCCAGCCCAATTGCCTCATTTTTTAAGGTGGTAACAACCCTATCTTGACAAGAGGCTGCTGCTATCACAGGAAAGTTGCGTATAAAATTCTTGGCCAGCCTGAGCACCTTCAACACCAAGCTTCAGTGTTAACAGTCTGTACATTCTACAGATATTTGCTGAGCTGTGTTACCTGCTGGACAGGAAATGCCCCCCCCAATGTATTGGGCTTGGTCTGCTTTTGGAGGTTGTGAAAACATTAAGAAATGGGGCTAAGTTGCCAGAAGTGGGTCCTTGAGGGTGTGGCCTTTGTGGGGTATCTGCTGCTTGGCAGTATTCTGTCCCCATCTGTGATTCCTGGTCATCACAAAGTGAGCAGCCTCTGCCATCCGCTCCTGACACTGATGTTTCCTCTTTGTCTTAAGGAGAAGCAACAGAGTCAGCTGACCTGAAAACTTCTGAAACTGTGAGTCAAAATAAATCTCTCCTCTTTTACGTTGTTTCCCTCGGGTGTTTCTCATAGCGATGGAATACTGACAAACGTACTCTGAGTAAGTCCGGATGATGCAGTGACCACGGGAGAGACCGTAGTATCAAAAGCACAGTCTCTTGCCCTCGGGAAGTTTACAAATGCACACAGGGGCACAGGTGACATCTGCTAACAAACACATGCTAGGTCAGGTGGCGGTAAGAGCCAGGAAGGAGGTCAGCATGGAGGCCGGTGCCGCTCTCAGGAGCTCTCTCCTCCATGACCACACTGCCTCATCAATACCCCCTAGCTGTGAAAACTGCCTTCCTCTCATCCAAGGTCACATCGCCTCACCGGCACCCCCTAGCTGTGAATACTCTCCTCCAGGGTCACATCTCCTCATTCATGCCCCCCCCCACCCCCGTCCCCGAGCTGTGAAAACTGCTCTCTGGGTTACCTGCACTGCTGAATGTAGAAATGCCACTGTGTAGAGCATGGGCTTCCACATGGGTAAGTTACTGATATCCAGAAGGTCTTGGTTGATCCCCGCGAATGTTCTTTTCAAGCCTGCGCGGACACCTTGGGGTGGCTCATTTGTGAACTTGAGAGAAGTCTGTCATGAGACGTAAACAGCAGTGTTGTCATATAAAATTTCATAAAGGATAAAGGTGAAATTATGATACTTCAGGTGACACTATGCTCATGGCACTGAGTGTGACGGCTGAAATTCAGCACTGTAAAAGCCAATTACACTGATCAAAGCTCAAAGCCAATAAATTAACTGTCTTAGAACTCTCTTCTGGAAATACGACATAATCTTGATGATTACAGTCAAGATTTTGAGGATTATACGATGCATACACCTTGCTGTGTTCTTATCTTTTAATTTTTTATTACATTTATTTATTTATTTATTTAGGGGGACATGCACATGCCACAGCACAATTGTGGAGATCAGAGGACAACTTGCAGGAGTTAGGTCTCGTTCCACCATGTGGGTTCCAAGGATGGAACACAGGTCTTCAGGCTTGGCAGCAAGCATCTTTACCCACTGAGTCTTCTTGCCTGCCCCTCCCACCTTTCAATACTGTCTGTCATGACCCATGCTATCAACTGGTGTACCTCTTAATGAAAAGGTAGTTATCTCATAGTAACAAACCTGGAGTAATGTAATTGGAAATCGATCATGGGGCTCGGTAGTTATCCACACTCGGAAAGATTCTTCAGTGGTTTCGGTGGTCAACAATATCTCTAATAATTCTTCCATGAATTCCAGGCCAAGGTGACAATTTTGCAGTAATACCCAACCACCCTGTATCCAAAAAAAAAATAATAATAAACCCAAGTCCATGCTTATATCTTGTATCTCGTTAGTGATTAATAAAACAAAATGCACAATAAAAAAAACCTTTTGCTTAGAGCATGTGATTATTTTATTTTTGAGCACATGTCAATATACCCTTCTGCTCCTGATTCAGGCTGGTAATCTGGGATCAAATGGATTCCAAATGACTATATCCCAGCTCAGCAAATGCAAACAAAAACTTGAGTATGTGCACCATCTAACGGTGGGGATGGCAACTTGCAGGGTCCTGCCTAAGATAAGTCGGAACTGGCTCAGCCCCAGACCAAGACTGCTTTGTAGTCATCTGAAGGATACTCCTCACCTCCTGAGAGTCAGAGATAATACATTTGGTAGCATTTGTTGGAGAAGTACTAAATCTTCCCTTTCATTCCTGAAACCACACAACTAAGTAAGCACTGTTATAAATGGTTGATAAAAGCACCTTTAACAATGCCCTATACCATTACTGCCCTATGAAAGCAAGATGGTATTTATTTATTTATTTATTTATTTGGAGTCAGAGTCTCACTATGTAGCCCTGACTGGCCTAGAACTCACTATGGAGATCAGGCTGGTTCAAACTCATAGAGATCTGCCTGCCTCTGCTTCCAAGTGCTAGAATAAAAGGTGTGTACCACCAGGTCTGGTCTTATTTATTTTTCACTTATTTATTGAGTCAATCTGTCCTAAGCATCCCAGACTGGCCTTGAGCTCACCACATATCCCAGGCTAGCATTGAACTCTCAAGCCTCCTTCCTCTGACTCCCAACTGCTTGGATTACAGGTGCACACTATCCAGTCCAGCAAGTCAACCTTTTACTGTAACTATAGTACACCAGATAACAACAAATGCAATAAATATATGGTAAGGTGTTTATATCCTGCCTTCAATTGCAAGAGAAAATGTGAGTCAGACTGACTTAAAGAGCAAAGAGGATGTGCTGGGTATATGCTATGAGGCGATCAGCAGATAATGAAAATTACCATTGGTGTCTGTCATTGTGGACCTGGTTCCTTTCTGGTCCCTTACTCAGCGTTCAGTAATGTCAGCTGAGTTTGAAATCTGGGTTTTCCCAAGATCCCACTGTGGCTACATTTTTTTTTCTTACAATGCCATACATTGTGGGAAACAGACATGGAAATTATAAAAACTAGCATTTCAAAGAAGGCCAAGATAAATGCAGCATTTAAAAGTTTTCCCACTCATGAAAACTAAAAAACTCACTCATGCCCTAAGTTAAAATGTGAAATCACTCAACAGAGTGAAACTTGATCCAAGTAGAAATAGTTGCCTATCATTGCCTTGATATATATAAATTGAATATAATTTATTATTGAATTTAATTACATGATAAAGATTAAGGCTTAGGGCACTTGGGAATTAATGACCAGCTTGAAATTTTGATGACCCAAGTGAAGCTTTAGCCAATTAACCCTCACTGGTCATTAATTCTGAGGGAAAAACCATGCCAAAGTTGTCACAGATGTGAGGAGATCAAACACTTAAAAACAAACCAAGGTCTTATTTTTATAAATGATGTCTTTTCTTATTGTCATTGAGACGGCTCTCTGGAAAGCATTTCTAGAAAGTTAACGACCTGTGCATTTACTAGGCGTGACAGCAACCGCTTCTAAACAGTCCATTCGGCACGCAATTTTCAATAAAAAATCATCAATATTTAAACAAAAAGTCTTCAACTATTTTTTTATTTGTCTGAAACTACCCATTAATGAAAAATGAAAGCCTGGCTTTAACCAGAAATTGAAATTTAACTGTCCTGATTTGTCACTTAAGTAGTGTCTATTAATACTGATCATGAAACTCTTAAGACGGCTAGGATTGTAACCTTATGAACTAGAAAGCACACCTTCCAGATTAGAAGAAAGGAAGGGAGGGAGGGAGGGAGGGAGGGAGGGAGGGAGGGAGGGAGGGAGGGAGGGAGGGAGGGAGGGAGGGAGGGAGGGAGGGAGGGAGGGAGGGAGGGAGGGAGGGAGGGAGGGAGGGAGGGAGGGAGGGAGGGAGGGAGGGAGGGAGGGAGGGAGGGAGGGAGGGAGGGAGGGAGGGAGGGAGGGAGGAATATTAAGTTGAACACGGACCATAGAAAATGCAATAAGCTTTCTGTGGGGCTATGAGGAGAAAACTACCTTCACAGGTAACAAAGGTTTGACTACACATAAACAAGAACGGAAAATGAAGACTATGCCTCAGAGGAAGGATGTTTCTGATCTCGGTAGCATTCTGAGGTAGACCAGATGGATGAAGGAATGGTAAAACAGATGAACAAAGAAATAGGAATGCGTCACAATAGCAGTGACGGCCCCTGGTTGAATGCCTACCTGCTGCATGGACATCTGAATCAGCTTTCGAGCATGAACTTCTTGTCCTTGTCCCATTGAGATGGTCCTACATTCTATAATAAAAGAAGCTGCTGCTGAAGAAATGTAAGTTTTACAACAGCCTCCCTCCCCGTATCCCTTCTAAGAAGGAGCCTTCGTCATTTAAACAGGCCTGGCTTTCCGTGGTACTAACCCACAGAGAAATACATGGCCAGAGAAATGGAGACACCAAGAAAAGAATGGGTGGAATGGGAGAAAGCAAAAGGCACAGGCTGAGCTTCCAAAGTGTGTGTGTGTGTGTGTGTGTGTGTGTGTGTGTGTGTGTGTGTATCACTAGAGAGGGAGCCAAGAAACCTTGCACATACTAGGCAAATGCTCTACCACTAAAAGACATCTTCAGGCAATACAAAAATTTTCATGTGTGTCTCTCAATATGTTTTTAGGAGGAACACAGGCATATAAAACAGTTTAAGTTTAAACAAAATATACATATATATATATGTATATAATTTGTGGGCTACCATTGTCTCCCACTGCAATAGGACTCTATAATTCCAGATGGTTTTATTTATGGAGCTTTTGACATATAGTTTATATTATTATTACTGTATGTGGTGTGTGTGTGTGTATGTGTGTGAGATGTATGTGTGTGAGTGTGTGCATGCTAAGGCATGTGTGCGTGTGTGGAAGTCAGAGGACAACTTTCAGGAATCAGTTCTCTTCTATCATCAGATCCAAGGATCAAACTCAGGCTATCAGGCTTGCATGGCAAGTTCTCTTACCCTCTGAGCAACATCAATGGTCTGATACAGAGAAGTTTTAAAACTCCATCCAATCATAGTATCTATATTGTTCCTTTTGTTTTGGACTCTGGAGCTAGGATTGAAGAAATCTTAGTCACTGAATAGTGTGTGTGTGTGTGTGTGTGTGTGTGTGTGTGTGTGTGTGTGAATATATACTTTTTCTTCTCTCTTTTTAATTTATTATTTTTATTTTATGTGTGCACATGTACTGCCTGCCTGTATATAAGTGCACCCATGTTAGGCAATGCCTGCGGAGGACAGAGAGGCCGTTGAATCTCCTGGAACTAGAGGTATGGATAGTTGTTAGCTGCCATGTGGGTGCTGGAATTCAAACCCTGGTCTTCTGCAATAACAGTCAGTAGTCTTAACTGCTGAGCCATCTCTCCAGCCCATTTTTTCTTCTCTTATAGCAGAAAGTACTTACTATTCTAATCAGCCTGCAACTTATTCTGAAGTTTAATGTGAAATAAAACTATTTTTTTTCTGACATTAACCTACTGTCTCAACAGTGTTTACTTTATAATCCCTGTCCTCAACTGACAGACCTGAAATATCTTTTCAATGACTATGTATTTGTATGTGTGCGTATATGTACTTGTATATGTATGTACCTGTGTGTGTGCCTGTATATGTGTGTGCCTGTGTGTGGACCTATGTACATATCTGTGTGTGCCTGCATATGTGTGTATACGCCTGTATGTAGGCACCTGTGTGTGTATATATACCTGTTTGTGTGTGTACCTGTGTGTATATGTGTTTATATATAACTGTGTTTGTATATGTACCTGTGTGTATATGTATGTGTACTTGTGTGGTATGTATGTGTATCTATACCTGTGTGTGTATATATGCCTGTGTGTTTGTGTGTGTATATGTACCTGTGTGTATATGTGCCTATGAGTCTGTGTATGTATGTGGACATGTGTGTGTATCTATGCCCGTGTGTTTATGTGTGTACCTGTGTATGTGTGCATATGTATTTGTGTGTGTGTGTGTGTGTGTGTGTGTCTACTTTGTGTCATTTCATTTGGAACACTGATTTCTTTAGCCTGGAACAAACAAATTAAATTACTGCCATTTGATACAGCGTTGAAAACCCTCGAGTGCTGTCCCTTTTTTCTTTTTAAGCTTTTGTGGCTACTCCGGTCCCATATTTCTGATGACCTAACATCATTCTGCCATCCAATTGGGGGGAAACGATGTTTGAATTTCAAGTAGACTTGCGTTCAGTTTACAGATTAATCCATAGATATTGACATCTTCACAATATTGACTCTTTATGCATGGATCTTGTTTTAACTCTCCATTTCTTTCAACTAAGTTTTATGTCACTGAGAAAGTTTTATATTTTTCTTCAAATGGATATTTTACAAATTGTTTTATTTTTATTGCTACAGCTAATGGAATTTTTACATTTTATTTTTACAAGAAAGCACCATTGATTTTTTAAATATATTTATTTTGTGAATAGTCAACTTACTGAGCTATTATATTCTCTGATAGTTTTCAACTGATTCATTTGTTTTTTTTTTTAGCAAGACAATTACATTGTCTGAGAGTAATGATGATGTTTTTAGGTCCCTCCTTTCCAGTAGTTTATCTTTTATTTATGATTCTCACAATACATTAGCTGTATTTTCTACAAGGATGCTTAATCACTGGGGCAACGGCAGGCATCTTTGTCTTAAGTCTGATTTTAATGGGTTTGTCTCAAGTTCTTCACCAACAAGTATGATGGCTGATGTTTGCAGTGCACATGTATTACCACATCCATAAAAGATTCTGTTCCTAACTTTCAAAGTCAAATATGAATATAAAAATGCTTTACTTTTTAAAAAATTTGTGTGTTTGTGCACGCATTTGCTCATACATGCCCTGGTATGCGCATGGAGGTCAAAGGACAACTTACAGGAGTCAGTTCTCTCCTTCCACCATGTGAGTCCCAGGGAATGAACTCAGGTCATCAGGCTTGGTGGCAAGTACCTGTACCTGCTGAACCATCTCACTGGCCATAAAATGCCGTTAAAGCATCTATCAAGTCACATTTGAGAGTTTGTGTCGTGTGTGTGTGTGTGTGTGTGTGCGCGTGTGTGCGTGCGTGCATGCATGCACACGCACGCACGTGCTGTGCATGTGGAGGTGCACTTGCCCGTGAATGCATGTGTAAATGCTAGAAATTGATGTCAGGTGTCTTCCTCTATCACTTTCCACCTTCTTTTTGAGACAGGATTTCTCACTGAACCCAGATTTCACCTAATAGTAGCTGACTGGCCAGGGATCTGCCTGTCTCCACCTCCCACAATGCTGGAGTTACAAATGCTCACTGTCATGCCTCACTTTCACATGGGTGCTGGGGATCTGAACTCAGAGCCTTATGTTTATGCAGTAAGCATGTTACCCACTGAGCCATCTCCCAACCACCGCTTAATTCTGAATTCTTGTGATTTAGTTAAGACATATTGGTAAGTAGGCTTAATGTGTGGTTTTCTTTCTTTTATGAAATTACTATATTGGGTCAGTGTTTCATATTGGAATAATAAAAATATAACATAACACCCCCTTTTTCAATGCTCAAGAATAAACTAAAACATGAAAATCCTTGAAAGTTTTAAAAGCCTTATCAAAAAAATTCAACCAACCTTCTCTAAGCATGACTGAATCTATTTTACGTCATGTGCAAATTGATTGTATAACTTCCATGTAAATTTTATTTCATAGGGTAATTCATTATTGCTTTTATAATTTTTTGAAAAACTTTATTTATTGGGGCTAGAGCAATGGCTCAGTAGTTAAGAGCACTGGCTGTTCCTGCAGAGGACCCAGGTTTGGTGCCCAGCACCCACATGGCAGCTCACAACCATCTGTAACTCCAGTTTCAGGAGATCTGATGCCCTCTTCTGGCCTCCACAGGCATTACATGACACGGTACACCTTCATACATGCAGGCAAAACACCACATAAAATACAAATAAATAAAAATGTTTAAATCTTAAAATCTTATCTACGATTGTGTGTGTACATAATATGTAGGTACAGGTGTGTGCATCACAGCAGGGCATCTGAAGGTCAGAGGACAACTTTGAGGAGTTGGTTCTCTTTTTTGATCTTTACGGGGGTTCTGGGGATCAAACTCAAGTCACCGGGATTGTGCTGAAAGCACTTTACTTTGCTGAGCCATCTTTCTGCCCCCCCCCCACTATCAGATGACACCGAATGAATCAACTATAGCTGCAGAGATCCAAGTCTGGAAGACCCCAACTGGCAATGGTGACAATACCCAGGTTTTCTGAGTATGGAGAGAGGAGAAACAGTTCCACCACAGGTTGCACAAGCCTGTCACTGAGTCCCTCTCCTTTAGTCCCAGTGCCCAGTCACTGCTGCAGCACTTAGGCTTTATAACTGCGTATGCTGACTCCTCTCCCAGAATATTTTTCCTTCTGTCTCCTATTTGTAATTGTTTTCTAATACTTCATTTATTATTTTTATTTTATGTGTATGAATGTATTGCCTGCATGCATATAAGTGCACCCATGTGAGGCAATGCCTGCAGAGGTCAGAAGAGGGCGTCGGATCCCCTGGAACTGGAATTACAGTTCTGTTTACTCATTTGTCCCCACTGGCTATGTCATATTTATCTCTGAACCTCTGTGGAGTAGCATGTAACTGGTTACAGAGCGAAAGCATGAATGAACAAATCCCTAGTTACCAGAAGCTACAACGACTCTGGTTTTTCAGTTTGTGACGTGATATACTTTGATGTAATTTGCATAGATATGAATGAACAAATCCCTAGTTACCAGAAGCTACAACAACAACTCTGGTTTTTCAGTTTGTGACGTGATATACTTTGATGTAATTTGCATAGACTTGGTGGCAGCAGACGGCCGCTCCTGTGTCACTCCTGCTAACCTGCTCTCCATCAGTACAGTCGCCTGCTAACATGAACGAACAAAACACAGCCTATGGCAGAGGTCCGTGTTCCTGCTTGTGCAAAGACCTGGGGCACAGGTATGAAGAAATGAAAGAAAATGAACCTTTTTTTGGTAACTTGGCTTCTAATAATTTTCTTTCCCTTTTTGAAACAAGATCCTACTACATAGCCATGGGTAGCCTAGAACTCACCATGGAACCCAGCCTGGCCTTGAATTCACAGAGATCTGCCTGCCTCTGCGTCATGAGTGTTGGGATTAATGGTGAGGTACCATGCCTGGCCATAGATACTTTTTCTAAGAATCATCTATGAAAGGCAGTATTCTGAACAAACTCACGAAAGTCTTGCTAAATTTCATGGACAATTAATCATACCCAGCTTCAGTTTTTTGGCCAAGGCGTCAATCTGAATGGTGGGGTCGGAGCCCATGGAGAGAAGACAAATCAGAGGGGTGTGTGTGTCGCTTTCCTCCCAAGTTTTTTCCAGATTTAGGATAACTGGCTCTGTGTACTTCTCCTCCAAAGAGTCAGCAATGTACTTTCTCGCTTGGAAAACAGTACGGTCTGGACACC